GTTTGAAAATTAAAATTAGCCTTTGAAAATTCTTTTTGGGTGCGTTGCTGCTGCCACGCACCCTCACTAGAGTACAATTTTTGTCCTCATATCTCCTAGGTCGCGGAGATCCTGGACCGCCACTCAATGTGCATATGACTATTTTCAAAAAGTTCGCAAAGGGAAAGCTCAAATCAGTTTTTCTTGCTGGTTCAAAGGCCTCTATCAGTTACATACGGTAGGAATAATGGAGCTAAATATAAATTTTTGAAGCTATCCTCGAACGTGGACATAAAGATTCAATAAGGACTCTGTCAACTTCAAAACTCTGAAGTTTGCACATTTGAAAGAAGCAAGGTAGAAGTGAGCAAGGTGTTGTAAAAAACGTACTTGTATGATATGGTGCATAATTTCGCGATCAACATGGAACTCAGCCAATGCGCAAGACCAGATTCCTGCAACAGAATATGTAACTTGCTGAAGAAGATCAACCAAAAATGTTTGAAAAACCAATGTCATAGAATTAGTTCACCTGTTGCGTAGGTATCGTTCCGTAATGTAGGAAGAATGTAACGCAATCGCATATCTGGCATTCGAATCTCTGGGTTCACATCAACTGGATTGGGCCCATTCCATTTCACGACAATCTCGTCGCTATCGTAAGCGTCTGAACTTATAAAATTCATGTAAACAACACCTAAAACTGGATAAAGAAATCAATGTAAAGGTTTTGCTTTTTTTCATTCTCAAGCTTTTGTACATGCGTGAATGCAGTTTTATTTTTGCCTTTGAAAAGAGGTTATTTGTGCAACATTTGCCTCATCCCGCTTCGAATACTTGCATAAATTCCAGATAGTTTATCTGATTATGCTGCACAACATTGCACATTCCAGATATTTTTATGTCGAGGTCAACTGGCACAGAAAGTTATTTGAAATTCTGGTGAAGCTCGAAAGACCTCCAAAGCTCGAAAGCTCGAAAGTGAGTGCGAGGTTGTTAAGGTAGAAGGCAATTTCAATATATTTCACTATTCCGTGTTTAGAAGTTCGTGATTGACTTATTATAGTTTCGAACAATGAATGAGTGGTATGCTTAGCTTCTAGGCATGTGTAGGTGTACAAATTCTTTAGAAATTTACAAATGTCAGTACTTGTTGTA